AGATCAGAACTTGAGCCGAAATCCTAAGTCAGACACTTAACCCACTGAGCTACTCAGGCACCCCAGTTGTTTGCTTTCCATACTCCATACAGAAAACTGGGGAAATGCTGCTCAGAGGATAAGAAGGGAGATATTCACCAGAGTAAACGTCATGCAATTTTAATTGGATATTCAGTTTATTAAAAAATAAAACTAATGTGTATTGTAATAGGCTAGTATGTTTATTGGCTTGGGAATCTTATTAAAATGCAGGTTCTGAGTTAGTAGGTCTGGGGTGGGGCCTGAGAGTCTCCATTTCTATCCAGCTCCCAGGGGATGCAAACACTGTGTCCTGTGACCATGTTTGGAACAGCAAATTTCTTGGCACATAGGATACACCAGTAAACAAAAATAAAGACCCTCTGCCCTTGGAGAGCTCCCAGTGTAGCTAGAAGTGGACCGGACCCAAAGAAGGGTGGGCAGGCTGAAGTAGGACACTCAGTGCCTCAGAAAACCAGAGATAGAGGAGAATTTAAAGACTATTCGAACTGCCCCATTTTAGAGTTTGGGAAACTGAGGCTCACAGTGTGGAAGGGAGCTGGTCAAAGTCACACAGCTGACTGTGGACAAGGCTGTTTGATTCCTATTCCCCTGCATTATCAGGGTTCTTAGAGACCCCGTGGGGTGCAGAGCTCAGTCAGGGCGGGGAATGGCCAACAGCTTTAGAGCTTGCAGGGGGTGGAGGTGTAGGGGAGCCCCCTCCCCCCCCCCCAGGGGGGCCCCACTACTCTAGACCCTGGAACCCTGATGGCCTACTTTACTCCTCTTTATCATGACACACACACACGAACACTGGGATATGTTTGGGAAGATGCTAGATTCTTCCTGACTGGCCCTTTGTTTTTCTGCATGACTAAATCTGTAGCAAGGATGAATGAGGGTGAAAGTATGGAGAAGTAAATTTTGAATACATTCAGTCATTTGGTCTGCAAATGTAAAGCACAAACTCAAACAGAATTAGACCAATTAAAACCTCTTCTTAATCAGGAGTGGGATGAAAATCCTGAACACATGTGAGGTTCCTTTTCTCATCCTTCAGAGCCCACCTGAACAGAGCCATCGACCCGGAGCTTCAGATTACAGCCCCTTTGCAAGGTGTTGAAAAGCAATTGCTTCTCCATTGCTGGTACTTGGGAATATAAACTTTTATGAATTCATATCAGTTCCACTGGAACGGCAGCAAATTTCATGGAGTAGCTAAAAAGAAAGCAACAGCTGGTACATCAGGCATTAATAATATAACAAAGGAAGAAAAAAGAGAAAATTTTCATTAGTATTTTTTGATGTCAATTTATTATTTATCCCTTTGCCAATATTCAAACAGGCAGGTAGTCATAAAACATTCAAAAAGATCCTTTAAAATAGTCAAGGCATCTGTTTTACCTCCATTCCTTAAAAAAAAATTTTTTTTTTCAACGTTTATTTATTTTTGGGACAGAGACAGAGCATGAATGGGGGAGGGGCAGAGAGAGAGGGAGACACAGAATCGGAAACAGGCTCCAGGCTCCGAGCCATCAGCCCAGAGCCCGACGCGGGGCTCGAACTCACGGACCGCGAGATCCTGACCTGAGTGGAAGTCGGACGCTTAACCGACTGAGCCACCCAGGTGCCCCACCTCCATTCCTTTTTAGAAACTTGGAAATCAGGAGCCCTGGCATTGATTTAAAAAGTCGTGTTAAAAGTATCCACTGTATCAAAAATATTGTTTGAGGGTTACTACTTAGAAAGATTTTAGTTTAAATTTTATCTACAGCCTAGGCAGGCAGCCGGTGGCTCTTAAGGGAAGATTCAAAGTGAATCAGCAAAGTGCTGCTTCCAAATGTTTGACTCCTCAATTAGTATTGTTTTGTTGCAACAAGGCGTCGACAAAGCCCACTGTTTGGTAATTAGCATCCTGTCAAGTCTCTCCAATCAAGGCCAGCATGCAGCACCTGGTCCTAGTTAAAAAACGCGTGTGGGCAATTCTGATCCGACCCTCAGGGGCCCGTGCCTCGTGCAGAACTGCCTTCATCCGTGTGCACGGCAGAGTCACCACTTAACCAAATAAGAGGGCCTCCGCAGCGAGAGGTTTTGAGAGCTTTTGTCTGGTTCTCCTGACCTGCCGCACCCTTTTAACTTCTTTGACAAACGTCCGTTCTTGTGTAGACGCCTGTTCCTCTTCCTGGGACAGAAGACTCCTCGGAAAGAAAATCGTTGTCTACATAAAACAAAGGAAAATGGAAAAGCAAAACAACCACCACAACGAAAACAGCCGAGGACCTTGACTGCCCTCTCCTCGGGAGGAGCTTCGTGGAGGCGTGGTTGGCCCTCCCCAGCTTGTCCTTCATTCCTCTGGGTGCTGTCTTTCTAGGAACTGTCCCCGGTGTAGAGGTTGTGCTCCTTGATGTAGGTGATGACAGCGTCTGGGAGCAGGTACTTGACGCTCTGCCCTTGGCTCAAGGCCCGCCTGATGTATGTGGAGCTGAGCTCATTCTGCACGGGCTCCCTGACCAGGTGAATGTTGTGCTGGTACCTCTGCAGGATGGCTGAACCTGAGATGTATTCCTTTGGGTTGTGACCCGTCCGGCTCACACACACCATGCCAAACTTCTCCACTATTTCCTGGATGTGTGCCTCTTTCCAGAGGTTGGGGGTCTGGAAGGTCTTCAGGATATCTGCCCCACAGAGGAGTTTCAGCTCAGGCACAGCTGGAAAAACAAGGGCGGATCCTGACAAGGTTACAGAAAGGTCACGGCCAGTAAAGACAACATACCCCTTTTGAAAAGTGCACAAAATGCTTTTTCTTGGAGTGTACTGGGAAGTCAACATCTACACTGTGTTCACGCCTGAAAAAGTGTGTAAGGGGATCTGAAGCTACTTCGGGGACATACAATTGTAATACAATCTTTTGTTTAATAGTGGCAAAGTGCCAAGAAATCAGAACAACTTATTTCGCCCCCCCCCCCCCAGTATTCTACCAAAAGTCTGTTGGCGGCTGCTGGACCCCATGGCAGTAGTCCAAAGGCGGCTGTGAACCCCATCTTCTGATAGAAGGTAAGATTGTAAAATCTCTAGTCCTAACAAGCTGTGGGCTTCAGGCAAGTCACTGCCTTTCTCAAAATCTATTTCAGCCCTAACGCCTGATACCTTTGTAAGTAAAATCTCATCATAAAGGTTAATTATAAAGGTTATTTGGATAACCAAAAGCTAATGACCTTTTCATCTGTTTTCAATACAACAAAGCTCTAGAACAACTAATCAATGTGGATAATCCTCTGGCATTTGTTCTAACAATGATGGTTTTAATGATAAAAGAAAACCTAACATTGGTGCTCATATGAGCACTATCACTAAGCCCTTGATGTATTTAACCTAATTTGATTCTCTGAACAATTTCATGAGTAGGCATTATTATTGTGCCCATTCTGCGGGAGGGAAACAGGCATAGAGAGGCGACCGACTTGCCTGAGGTCACTCACTTAGGCGGCAGAGTCAGGATTCAAACCCCACAGCCAGCCTCCAGGTGGGGCATTTATAACTGCTGGGCTCTGCCGCCTCCTGCTGGCGAAAATTGTACATGCATCAGAACCAAGAAGCCCTTCCTTGATTTTTCCAGGCACTGTTGAAATTCGTGTCCCTTTCCAAAGGGCTAATTTGGAAAGGGAGAAAAATCAAGTCCACGCTTGAAGCAACCAGTAGGTTCTCTGGTCCTTCCGGAAGCTGATTCTAGCTTCAGTAAATGGCAAAAGCTGTGTTCTAGAGTGTTGGCATCGCTCGGTCACCATGAAACCTCAGTTGGGAGGGGTTCAGGGATCCCACCTGCTGGGGAAACACCTGATGTAAATGGTCGGTTGAGGCTCCTCTACTGTGGAACTTTGGAAGGAATCTGGACGTAGGATCAGAGAGAGGAGTTTACAAAGGAGCACTAGACCAGCTGTGGAATGGAAAGTGAGAAACTGGAAGTGTCACGGAGAGGTCTGATTTCTAGCTTTAGTTGGGCTGGATGGATCCTTTTCTGGGCCTCACTTTCCCCATCCATGAAATAGTGGGCACTGGACTTATTCACTCCTTTGGAAGTAGTAGATATAATTACAGAAGCAGTTTTCAAACACTCTAGCAGCATAATATTGGTATAATGAAATGATATTCAAACATTTATTGATGCATACATTGATAAATTCTCCATGGTTAAGAACTAGGACTCTAAAACCAGGCACCTTAGATTCAAGTCTTGGCTCTGCCATTCAACAGCTGTGTGACCTCAACTTTAAAATGGAGATATTAACAGTACTTTTCTCCTAGGGTTATTTTAGAATTGAATGAGTTTATAAATATAAAGTGCTGTAACCGAGTACGTGTGATGGCTGTTAACTGCCATTCATCCGTCCATCCACCTGCTGATCCGCTAATCCATTCATTGACACATCCATTCAACACTTAGGGAGTATTTTTAAAGTCAATAAAACTGTGTTTAGAAATTACTCAATAACCCACACTTTTGACTAATCTGAGCTGGCCCCATTGCTCACAACGTATGTGGACTTAGACTATTCTGCCTCTGGGAGGTTCTACTCCAGTTTATTTATTCAGCCGTTGTAATATAACAGGAGAGCAGCCCTGACCTTTTAAACACCTGGGTGATTTTTGTATGTGCTCTTCCTCCGGGGGAGGTGGAATGATGGGCATTTAGTTGTAGGGTCTCCTAAGGGCTGGAGCACACTTTCCCCCATTCCACAGGCCAAAGAACAAGAAGACACCCCTTCTCTCCGCAGTGGATTTTTTTTTTTAATGTTTATTCATTTTTGAAAGAGAGAGAGAGACACAGCACAAGCAGGGATAGGGCAGAGAGAGAGGGAGACACAGAATCTGAAGCAGACTCCAGGCTATGAGCTGTCAGCACGGAGCCCGACTCGGGGCTCGCACTCCCGCGGGGCAAGATCATGACCTGAGCCAAACTGGATGCTCAACCGACTGAGCCACCCTGATGGCCCCCCCCCCCCCCCCAGTGGATTTTTGTGGCGGTAATTTCTACCTACTGGCTTAGATATTAGATACCGTCTGATTTATGAACAATGACAGGAGTACAATTCACTGTGTGCTCCTGCCGACAGGGGACACATGCCCACACCTCCCTTTCCCCCAAATCAAAGGCATGTCTGTGGGGTGATCACTTCTTCTGGCAACACGTGCCTTGGACTCCAACTCTGGGCAGTCCTCAAAGAGCCCATCACCTCTCTTTCAAGTCCATTTACATCACTGCTCTGAGCTCTTCAGATATAATGACTGGCTATCCAAGTCCAAGGTTCGTAAGTCTGAAGTGTTGAAAAAAGGCTGCCGGTTTGATTCGTCTCAAGCACGAAACAGTGACCTAAATCAGATGTCCGTGGGCATTTTGGGGCAATGTGCTCTTTGGAATAGCCACTGGCTTCGAGAAGCAGATGAAGCAGAGGTTTACATGAAAAGTGAGGGAAGTGCCACCGGGACCATTTTCTTTGAATGTCCAGCTGCCTTAATTGTTAACGTCAAGAACAGCCGCCCTGAGGTCAGTCAGCCCTGGTTTCCGGTTTCAGATCTGCCGGAACCCTGGGAGAATTACAGCAGATGGGCCTGTTTCCTCAGCTGTAAAATGGGGCTGACCTCCTGTGGAGGTTCTGGAAATTGAGGGGTGGAGTGAGTGCAGCCACACTCAGGAGTGTGGGACTTCTGGGGACACAGGACACCAGAGCTGAAGCCAGGTATTAAAGGGCAGCGCCCCAATTAACCAGACAAGGCCACCGTGGAACAATCAGTGCAGAATGGAGTCAGATGAGGGGCCTGCCGTGGTTGCGTGGAAAGGGAATCCTCTCTGAAGGTTGCTGAGCTGTGCTCAGCCCCATCAGCCGAGCGCAGGGACCACCTTCACAAGAGACGGACAGTGTTGGGCTGTTAGAGGACCGAGGCATCATCTGTCCCAAAGTGTCACAGCCAAGCCGTCTGGAACTCAGCACGGCTGGGTCAGTCCACGGAGGGCTGCAAATCACACGAGCAGGGCTCTGGCAGCCAGAGAATGCTGAGCTCAGCCCACAGTCTGCAGTCCCAGAGGAGAACACACAATAAAATACACAGCACACAGAACGGTCCTTTAGAGCTCTGCCACTAGTAATCTACAAGCCACCTCATCAGAAGCCCAATGTATGCTGAGGAAGAACTCCACCTCCTTCCTTTTTGTAATTGCTCTAGTTCCCCGCCCCCCCCCACCTGTGATCACAAACGTGAAATCTGTGTCAATTATAAAATGTATGAAAAACACATATTCAAGGTAGAAAACAATTCTGCTTTCTCCAAAGCCGTCAATATTTGAGTGTAGTTTTTCAGTTTTTCTATTGATTTAGACATGCAAATAGATGTGTAAGTATATTTACATGTTTTTATATACTTGAGATTATATATACAGTATCGTATCCTGATTTTTTTCTGCTTACCTCATAAGCCTTTCTCCAGAAACATTTTGTGTCAATTATTCATCCTATGGATACAGAATAATTTACTTAAATGTTCCCTTATATTTAAACGGGGAGGTTGCTTTTATTTTCTGCCATTATAAAAATGGCTGTGATAAACATCCTTCTACATAAATCTTTGTCCCAATTTTTAATTATTTCCACAGTCTGATTCCTAGAAGGGGAATATATCAAGTAAAGGACATGAACGTTTTTAAAGCCCCTGATACATTTTGGTCAATTACGAAGCCCACTTCTCATTCAACATAAACTTTCTTTTTAACAGTTACTTTAGAAGAGAGCAAGATGAACGGGAGTTAGGGTTTGAAGAGCAAGAAAGGGGATAAAGAACAAACTCCCAGCATTCCAGGGCCAAGCAGAATAGCCCCTAGAAAAATAAATCTGAAAAGAATGTGGGTGAGCTTTGGTGGAGGGAGGGAGAGAGTGAGCTCATCTCTGTGAAAGCCGCTGGGACTTGTTTCACAGGGAAGACGGGTCCAACCTGGGCCTAACAGGACAGATAGGTTTTTAGAAGGGGGAGCCAAGAAGGGGATGGGGAGGAGGGGCAGTCCAGGCAAAGAGCTGAGACAGGGATTCCGGAAGCCTGTGCAGGGAGATGAAGGGTGAGAGGCTGGAAGCCTCAGTGTGGCATCTCTCCCACATCACTGGAGGCTCCCTGCCCATCACTGGACCCTCTGGCATTCCCTAAGAGCAAGGGCTGCCCAGCACCCATGCTGTTTCCTTCCTTTGTGCCCTGCTCCACTGCCTCTCTGCCAGAAATGCCCCAACCCCAGATAACCTACTGATCCCATGAGTCTTGGTGCAAGTGTCTCCTCCTCCAGGCAGCCTTCCTAATCCACATCTCGGCTACCATTCACAGCCTGTCTCTAGCTTAGGTCAAAGGTTGGGGTGGAGGGCTATCTTTGTTCTCCTCCTGAGCCTGGAGCCTGGTCTGGGGAGGTGCTCAGACAGTGTTCTTGAACGCTGGTGAGGGTAGCTGCTGAGCCAGAGATGATTCAGAAAGAAGGCTGAGAATGAACACGCCTGTGTTCATGACTGGGGGACAGGGGGGAAGCGAGGCAGACAGACCAGAAGAATACAGTGAATATTGCAAAGATGCTGTAACTCCTCCTTAGATTCCTACTCTAGTGCACGGTTCCCCAAATGGGCTGTAAAGCAAATCCCAGAGTGCCTGTTAGACATCCAGATTCCCGGGCCCCATTTTCACTCAGGAGGTCTGGGGTGTGGCCTGGGAAGCATGATAAGCCTCACAGGTGATTCTGCTGTGAGTGGTCCTTTGACCAGTGTTTAGGGCCTGCTGCATGATATTTTTAGGGCCCCGTGGCATTTTTGAGTCCTTTTAAAAGAGTGTTTCCTAATCTGTGTTCGGGGGCAGGGGGCACTAGTTCTGAGAAATTATCAGTATGTGTTAGAAAGGGTCCCATGATTAGTGATGATGGCAGCAAGCTAGTTGCCTTTCTGGTAGAGTCACAATGCACAGGGTCATGGTAAAGACTGAAAAATCCTGCAGCAAAGAAGCCATTTTAGGTTGGTTTGACTGTGACGCTCCCAAGCCCTTCTGATCTGGAACTAGCATCCCACCTCCCACAGCTGGGAGACCCTTGTTAGGAAAACCCCCCAGATGGGCCTGCTGGGGTTTCAGCCCAGTGTGACCAGTGTCACATCCTGCCCTTCCATCACTGGGTGCTCCCGTTTATTTGCATGAGGGGCGAATAAACTTGACCCAGGGTACCAGGACTGCCATTAGAGAGGGAAGGTCCTTTGGAATCACAGCTGACAAGGTTCCATCAAACACCAGGAGTTGACAACACAGTAGAAACCCAGGGTTACAAACTGAAAGGACAATCCACGTGGACTTTTGACAGCACTTGATGTCGGGAGGAGGCACGTGGGAGACCTGTGGGCTGTCTGACGGTACAGTTCTATTCCTGCTCAGTGACGTGGTCTTCTCTTGCCTGTCTTTTGGCTTTATTTATTTATTTTTTTAAATTTATATATGAAATTTATTGTCAAATTGGTTTCCATACAACACCCAGTGCTCATCCCAAAAGGTGCCCTCCTCAGTACCCATCACCCACCCTCTCCTCCCTCCCACCCCCCATCAACCCTCAGTTGGCTTTATTTTCAAACTACTCTAGATGTTAGATATTACCGCTTTCCTGGTTTCCTGGTCAGTCAGTGCGGCTGGAATCCACAGGGACCCATTAGAGGAAGCTGGCATGTGCTGAGGTTGTGGCAGGTGGTGTTTCCACACCATTGGCCACCAAGCGTGGCTATGAGGCTCCTGGCTGGTGCGGGGGGAGGGCCCTTGCGGGACCGTTCTCGAATATTCTAAGTGCAGGTAGGCCATTCAGGTGAGCTGGTGCCTGAGGAGTGCCCATTGGTGGAGCTGGCAGTCTGGGGAGACGTGTAGTCTCCTGGCCCCTGGCCCCTGAGGCCACCAGCAAGTGGGGTGGGCACTGGCAGGCTGTCTCTGGAGGGGTCCGGCAACACACAGGCAGAGCTTGGGGGCCTGCCTAGCCTTCTCTGGCTCTCAGCATATCCCACCAGAGGGACAGGGTGAGGGTATGTAAGGAGAGACTGACCTCATTCCTTTCTCACCACGCTGATCCGTGAGCCCACATGGCACAGGACCACCCTGTTTGTTTTGGTTACGTGGGTTGCGAATATTCCTCTGGAACTGGCGACAGCTGCATATTTACCGTCCTTACAAGCACGGTTGGCACTATCTCTGCTGTAGGTGTGGGCAGCGGTGTACCTCTGTTGTGGGTACACATGTACACGCACGTGTTGCGCAGCAGGTGTGACCGCGGCTGTCCGGCAACACGCGAAAAGTACGATGAAAGTGGGCTCCAAAAAAAAAATCCCCTTAGAAACAGGTTTCCTCTTTTGAGGAAGCCAGTGAGGAACGTGGCTACAAGCGTAAGGGTTATAATAGCACAGTCTGTACTCAGGCTAAGGCTTTTAAAAGAACCCAGCATCACTCACTAGTTTATCCCTGTGTAGCCCTGACTATAATCCACGTCATGAGCACGAGTCACGAGGGTAAGTAAACTCCTTTGAGGCAGAAAATCTTAAATTAGTGTAATGATTTACAAGGGGCGGTGGCCGATTGTTTAATTTGACCCTTCAATCTGGGGGAGTGTCACCCCCAACCAGGGAAGCCTCAAAATCCTTAGCTGTGCCTAGGAATTGGCTCTCGCACGGATCCCTGACGTCTGTCCCTCCGACGGACAAGGTGCACCCACCTGTCGGGGCCAAGGAGTGAGCCCTGCCATGGTCCGGGCCTTCCGTCTGGGGCAGAGATCTGAGCAGTTCACTGTGATGATGCCTGCATTGCAAACACACGGGCTCAGGATGTATCCATCCCGCAAAGCCACCCAGGGGTCTCAGTTTTTAAGTCTCAACCTGCTTTTGTCCATTTTAGGCAGGTAGCTCATTCCCCAGGTGTTGGTGGAGGGCCTACCATGTGCCAGGCCTGTGCCAGGTGCTGGGACACAAAGCATGTGTGATTGGGACCTCTTGACCACGGATTGCCTTCTTGTGAGCCCTGGTGAAAGGGGCAGGGTGTGGGGATGAGCATATTTCTACTTTTTTAACATTGTCTTCAATAGCTCACTTAGAAAAAAACAAACAGTTGAGAAGGGATGAAGGATATGGGCTCTTAGAAGCAGACAGATTTCAAAGTAAAAAATTTCATTAGTATTTCAGAACTCCACGGGGGTGAGGACTAAGAGTCTGGCTTAGAGCCAGACTGCCTGGGCCCCAGCTCAGCTCCCCCAGAGGCCAGATGGGCGACCCTGGGCACGTGTCTCTAGGTCTCTGTGTGGATGGTTCAGCACCTGTGTAATGAGGGATAACCTGTGATAATCGTGTGTGCCTCTCTTGGGTGGTCACAAAGATGAAAGGAGTGCAAAGTGCTCTGAACAGTGAGCAGGACAGAGCAACTCTCATTACATGTTAGCATTTCAGATCTGATTAGACGTACACCATCTTGGCATGCCTGGTTCTTTTAGCAAATCAATAGATACCTGATCAAACACAGGTTGTCACCACGTCTTGTATCAATGCAATCTTCCACCTTCTACCTACTGTAGTATACATTTAGGAGGGCTACGTTTGGGAGAGAGCAGTGCCTGGTGGAAAAAACAGGTGCTGTGCAGCCCGGGTGGGTTCGAGTTTCGGTTTTCTCGCCTGTGTGACCTTGAGTAGAGTCACTGACACTCTCAGAGCCTCACTGACTTCATCTGTGTATTAGTCACGATGGAAGTTAATGCCGATCTCTTTTCTGCCAAGTACCACAGGACCATGAGAGAGAAAGTGCCTCTACCCTGCCAAATGCTGGGCAGGTGGCTCACTGCTGAGTATCGCTGGGGGAAGGCATAGTATAAAGGTTAAACTTTAGAATTAGACTGCTTGGCTGGAATTCTGCTTCCAACTAGTGGCTGTGAATCTTGGTGGGTTCCTTAAGCAATCTGCCTCCGGTTTTGTCATCTGTAGAATGGGGGACGATGACCACACCCACCCCTGTGGGCCATGCTGAGGATTAAGGGAGGAGCTTAGCACTGGCCCATCCACAGAAAGGGTCCAGTCAACATTAGCTGTTCTTACCATCATTACTGTCAGTGTGTGAATAGTGAGCTCATTTAAGTCACCTTAATATTCTTAGTTCAGTAACTGTTTACCTAAAGTCAGCTGAATTCAGGAATGGATGGAAGGAGTGGACGAATAAATACATTTGATTCTGGCCCAAAGTCCTTCCTGATATCTCAGACACTCAGTTGAGCCTTCTTAGGGCCTAGCTGCACTCTGTGTTTCCATCATTGTCTGCTTTGGTTTTGGTAAGCTTCATGTCTGAGGATTTGCTCCTGAGTAAGTCTGGAATCTTGGAGCAGACTGAAGTAGGTGTGAGTCGCACCTCTACTTTCTAACTCTAGGGCCCTGCCTATGTTACTGACCCTTTCAAAGCCTCCATTTCCTCACCTGTAAAATGGGGCCACACCCACCTACTCCTCAGAGTTGTTGAGGGGACTAGATAGGACATACCTGAGAAACCCTGGAGTGCAGTAAGTGATCAGTAAAGGTGGTGATGGTCATTTTATTTTACTTACCTTGAAGCTCCTAGTTCAGGTTGACCCGACTTGGAATATTAGCTGGGTCTCTGAACTCTGATGCGTCAATCATTATTTTCAGTGTCAAATGTCGCTACCTCACAGACCTCCACTCTGCCTTTGTAGGGCGGTGGCCATTGCTTCCTCTGGTTGTCTGCCTGAGTGGTGTCCGGGTGTGCCCAGCCCTGAGCCTGCGGGCTGACCCTGGGAGCAGGTTCTTTGTGTCCTCCGCGGCCCCACAGGTTTCCAGGGATGTCTGGTCAGAAGGTCATTGGGTCATGGTGGCAGGAACAAAGTTCACCACACTGTGCCCTGACCTGTAGGTCACTGGTTTGAAGATAACCGTAAGCATGGCTTCAGAGTCAGACTGGGCTCCACCACTCGCTTATTTGTTTTGCGATGTTGATTAGCCTAGCCTCTCTGAACCTCAGTTTATCTGTAAAACGAGGACAACATAAGATCATGCTTGCAAAGGGGTACATGAGATGACAGTAGTGATGATTGATGATGGACCACATCAAATGGCATTGTGACTAAGGACCTTCGACATGGGGAGATGGTGAGCGAACTAAGTTATTAAATGCCCTAAAAGCATAAAAACTGGCCTAGATTAAACAAAAAATTAGAATGAAAACAAGCAACCTGATAGGGAGAAAAAGAATACTCAACGAACTCTACTTTGAATTTACTTCATAGTGACATTTGTCATAGTGACACTATTTGTCACTATGGTGTAAATTCACTGTTGATTCCATCAGAAAGATATGGAGCAAAGGGTGGGGTGGGTTTCTACCATGCTTTTGAAATCACCTCAGTTTACAAACACCAGATTTTCAGTCTTAAAAAAAACGCGTTTGGTAATTTTAGGAAAGCATTAGCAATAACATCTTCTAATGAAGCTCACTCCAAAAATTGAAAAAAAATGTAGTCAGCTCTCTGATAAAACTATTGTCTCTTTATGTCAACAGATTTTTAACCTTGGCTGCACAAAATAAATCATTTGGGGTCCTTTTACAAAATACCCATGCCAAGACCCTACGCACAAGTCATAATCTCTGAGGTGGGGTAGGGGGTGGGGAATGAACATTTTAAAAAGCTTCCCAGGCGATTCCTGCAGCCAGGGTCCACTGGTTTGGATGGATCTTGGTCCTAATCATAAACCTGATTCACGTACTTTGTGACTGAGGGCGGTGGCCTCAATCCTGGCCACACACTAGAATCACCAGGGAGCTCTTAAAATTCTGATGCCCCACCCCAGACCAGTGACATCCCAGTCTCTGGGATAAGACTCAGGCTTCAGTACTTTTGAAAGCTCCCTCGATGATTCATTGTGCAGCCAGGGCCGAGAAGCACTGAACTAAAGGATAGAGTAAAAAAAGAAAAAGAATGTGTTCAGTAACATCTCAGCACACGCCTGCATTTTGCAGCAGAAGCAGTGAAAATATTATGTAGTTCTGTGGTCCGTTCCTATTTACCCAGGAATGGCTTATCTGTTTGGATGATAAATTATGAGCCCGTGTTAGGGATGCAGGGAAGGTAGCTAGCATTCTTCAGCACCTACCATAAACCAGGTATTTTGCCCACATCATCCCGTTTAATTCACATAGTACCCCAGAGAAGTGGGTGGTATCATCCCCGTTTTATTAGGTGAGGAACTGAGGTTCAGAGAGGCTAACTCACTTACATCAAGTCACTGAGCTAGTAAATTGGGATCCAAAATCTGGGCCCTAGGCCACACTGCCTCTCCCAGGGTGCAGGAGGAAAGGGTCTTTGTTTCCGACGACATGTTAAAGCTAAATGGCGTGCTGGATTATGTACTGTTTGCATTCTCCTCTGCTATCCTAGATATATGGGGGTTGGCTAGATTGCTTGTTCTGAAGGGATGATTCAGGTGTAAATTTGTTTTTTTTTTTTAATGTTAAAAAAAAGCAGGTATCCTAACAGTTATTTCACATTTGCTCTTCTTTTAATTTGCCAGCAGGTTCTGAAGTAGCTCTGAATTGCTGAATGCTTCTAGCTGGTTCTTTCCCAAATGAAAGGCAAACGATCAGAACCGGCATGTGTAACTAAATGAACAAAATGTTTACCTTTACTAAAAAAGGAAAGGATAAACAGTTTTCAACCAAGTAACTTTGAAGATGAGTAAGAAATGAAAAGCGGAACAGATTTAGGATGAAAAGACCCACCAGTTATTTGACCTTCTCCCTTGTGCTTCCTATTCCCTGACAAATCCTAGTGTTTGCAAATAGATAAAAGACACAGCCCACACAGTCTGCAATCCCTTCCAGCCAGGCTGGCTGTCATTAGTGACAGGCAGGGCCCCCCTCATCATCCCCTCTGACAGCCAGGCCGGGTGGGTCTTCTGGTTCCTCTACCAAACTCCCAGGAATGCTTCCCAGACACAAGTCAGTGACCCACTGTCCGAACACACAAGACTCTCCGGGCCTTTAAATAGCAAATTACTTAGGCTAAGTGCTAAAAGCAGTTCCAAAAGGAAAAAAAAAAAAAAATCCTGAGCAACTCCTTCTAGATTTATAGCTTCTTTTTTTCAATTTTACATAAAAGTCTGGATTTATAGAACCTGGATTTGTACAATTAGAAGAGAGGGCTTATTGCGTAGATGTAATTTTCAACCTAGTCAATGGTGACAATGATAAAGGGTCCCACTTACTGAATATTCTTACGGGGTTCTGTGTCAGAAGTTCTTACATTTAAAACATCCTCTTAGGTTTTTATGGTCCCCATTTTGCAAGCGAGAGATGTGTCTCAGAGAACTTAAGTGCCTCGTCACACATCTATTTGGTGGCGGCCCTGGAGCCCGAGGATACAGCTGTCTGAAACAAGATCGGGTGTTCCCAGAAAGTGTGTCCGGAAGGGTGGTGGGTTGTGATTTGTCCACTCGGGACCTCTTTGAGTGTGTCTGTTTGTCTCTCTCCCTCTGCAAAGAAGCACTGCTGGGATTTTGGCTGAGAAAGCCTGGCTGAAGCCCCACTTGAGCCTTGGTCCCTGCCTTTCGGCCACTGGGCTCTGCAGATAGGTCCCGTGGCCTCTGGGCATCACACAAAAGCATGCTCACTCTTACCTCAGCACCTTCACGGTCTCCATCCACTGCGCCTGCTCACTCTCCCAGGGGTCCACCCGGATCCAGTCGGACGTCTGCAGGGCCAGCCGGGCCATGGCCACCCGGTGGTGGGCAGCCACGAGGTCTTTCTTTCTGTAGTTGTCGTTGACAGGAGAGATGATGCCCCCGATCACCTTGTACATTCCTAGGCAAGGGAGAACAGTGATGTTGTGTGTGCCAACACTGACTACCCAGTGGCCTGAAATCGGGCGGGTACAAAAGTACCCTGCCCCTGAGTGGGAGCAGACTCTGGCATTCTCCCCTGTGGGGCAGCCCCCTCAGGCAAGGATAAAGGCTGCCTCAGGGGCCATGTGCTTCTCTAGAGTCGTCTACAGCCCAGAGTAATATTTCTCCTGAGAGCAAGGCTGTGAGGGTGTGGCCAGACAAGGTTTCCAGATGGCAGTGTGGACAGTTAGGGTCAGAATATGTTGAAGGAACATCACGACTTCCTCCTATGGAGGACTCAACAGAGGCGCTAATATCCTCTAATCATGTATGGGGCAATAGTTACGTGTAGTTTTTTAGCCACCATTGGGAGTCTCGTGGATCAAAGATGACAGGATGGAGTCGGGCACTGACGGGTAGGGGGGAGGTGGGAAGTAGATGGGAAATGGTGGGTCTACTTTGGGAAAGACGTGGGTTGTGGGACTGGAGAAAGGAACACTTGAAGTTTGCAGCCACAGGGAGACTGTGGAGGCTGCAGAGATCCAGCATGGAAAGAGTATGGACAGGACTCAAAGAGCCTGGGGTGGGGGCTCTGGCGTCCATCACTTAGTAGTGCACCCTAGGCAATTACCAGCCTATGGGAAAATAAAATACTTAGTCATTTGAACTTCAGTTTTCCTGGATGTAAAATGGGACCACACCTGTTTGGCAGGGTCTTGTAAGGCTAGACATTAGGTAATGCTTCTGCAGTGGGATGGTATTTTGTCTTAGTATGTGATATATTTGTAAAAACTGTATTATGAAACATAACATGCATATAAAAGAACATGAAACACATATGGCTTGACAGAGAGTTATAAAGTATATCCTGCTTTCATCATCACCTAGGTGAAGATACAGCACTTCTGGCATTCCACACGTTCCCTACTGCAAGCCCCACTGTGACAGAATTTAATCACTCTTCCTACTGTTACACTATTAATTTTCTTTCCTTTATAGCTTTACCATGTAGTTATGCAGCCTTAAAAAAACATAGCTTCATTTAGCTTCTGAAACTTTTATAAAGGGAATCACATGAATATATACTTTGGTTAAGCCTTTTACGCTTTATGTAAATAACATTCCTGTAATCCAACCAGGTTTACTGCCACATAACCTTCCATTACAAGATTATATACTAAATAATTGATCTCTTTTACTTTGATGGACTTGGTATGAGTCTGGCTTTGGATGATTACAAACCACACTGCCTCAGGACATTCTTCCACAAGGCTCCCTCCGCACATGGGCACACGTTCTTAGGACACACACCTAACAGCGGACCCGCTGAGTCATACGGTGGGTGTAAGCAGATCTGTGGTGTTGCTAGATAATGTCGGAAGGTTTTCTAAAGCGGCTGTAGCTACTGACCCTCCTCCAGCCGTGCAAGAGTTCCATGCAATACCACACGAGGTCGTTGTCAGGATTTTCCCAATCTGATGGATGCGGTCATATCTCTGTCCTTTTAATGTTCATTTTCCTGCTTACCAATGAGGCCGAGCATTTATTCATATATATTATTAAACATTCAAGCTTAAATTTTTGTGAAGTGTCTGTTCAAATCTTTTGGCCATATTTTGGGTTGTCTGCTGATTTTATCATTGATTTGTGGAGTTCTTTATATATTCCAAACACTAGCCTTTTGGGGTTGGTTATAGGAGTCATAAATACCCTCTTGTTTTATGGCTTGTCTTACTATTCTTTTTTATGGAATCCTTTCAAAATAGAAAAAAAAAGAGAAAAAGTTCTTAATTTTAACGTAGTTGGGTTATTAGCTTTTTCCTTTATGGCTAGTGAATTTTGTGTTATGAAGACATTTTCCTGTATTATCTCATAAAAGGTTTACAGTTTTGTTTTTTCACATTTGGGTCTTGGTGCATGATGTGAATCCTATTCAGTTATTTTTTGTTTGGGTAGTCAATTATTCTAGCAATGTTTACCAAGAAGACCCCGTCCACTCTGCTGCTATGTGTCACCACCCACGTCGAATGTCAAGTGTCCACCTGTGCAAGGGTGTGCTTCTCTTCTCCTGTTCTATTGCTCTATTTCCTGTCCCCATACAACATCACACTGCTTTGCTGAATATAGCTTTATTATACATCTTGATAGCTGGTTCTTCTTCCCACCTGTTCTTCAAGAATGTCTTGGCAATTCGTGACTTTCTGTATTTTCCATATTAATTTTATTTTATTTAAAAAATTTTAATGTTTATTTTTAAGAGAGAGAGAGAGAGAGAGAGAGAGAGAGAGAGAGAGAGCAGGGGAGGGGCAGAGACAGAGGGAGACACAGAATCTGAAGCAGGATGCAGGCTCCGAGCTGTCAGCACAGAGCCTGACGCGGAGATCAAACTCATGAACCGTGAGATCATGACCTGAGCTGAAGTCAGACGCTCAACTGACTGAGCCACCCAGGCGCTCCTGTATTTTCCATATAAATTTTAGAATGAGCTTGTCAAGTTCCACAGATGAAACACCTCCTCTTATCCCTGCCCCACCCCAAAAAACCCTGCTGAAATTTTGATAGGAACTGAACTGAATTTATAATTCAATTTTGGGAGAATTCATGTCTTTACAATTTTTTAGCCTGCTGATCCACAAGCATTATATATCTTTCCTTTTATTTGGATCCCCTTAAATATACCTAAATAAAGTTTTATGGTTTTTCTTGTAGAGCACTTAAACATCTTTTATAAGGTTTATTCCTAGACACTTGATTTTTTGGATGCCACTATAAATGGCATTTAGAAAATACTTTTTATTCCATTTGTTGCCAATCTATAGAAATAGAATTGATTTAGGCATCTTGGATGCATATCCAGTAACCTTGCTAAACTTTATTAATTCTAATAATTTTTCTGTATAGTCTTTTGAATCTTCTATGTCCAAAATATACCATCTGAAAATATGGACAAATTTGCTGTATTTCCAATCCCTCCACCTTTTATTTGTTTTTCTCACGCCATTGAAGACCGCTAGCATGATGGATGCCAAATACAGGTGGCATTAGCGGGCCTCCTTGCCTTTTTGCTGATATCAGAGGCAAACTGTTGACTTTCAGTATTACATATGATGTCTGCTGCAAGTTTTCTATAGATATCCTTTTTAGGTTGTAGCAGAGATAATGCCACGTGTTCCTTAAAACGCTTCCCCGCCACCCCCTCCCCCTTCTTTCTGGGCACATAGGAAGCTAATATATCTGTTCTTCTTGAAATTAGGCCGGGTTTATGTGATCTCACTGAGTTATAGTCAGTGGGGTGTGGGCGGAAGTGATGTACGCCCCATCTAGACTTGGCCACAAAAACTCTTGTAGACTCTCCAACTCTCTCATAGTGGATCTGAAAGCCATAACAAAGGAGGCAAAGCCATGGGTGGGGCCTACTGGGACCCCTGAGACACAGCTGGGCAGGGAACCGCTCTGTAGCTCTTCAGGATCTACATGGGATTTATGAGAGGGAAACGTTATCTAATGTGGTAAATTCTTGAAATGACCCTGGCCTATCCTGACAAATAACGTGTATGTTACTTTAACAGACATTCCCAGATATTCCTAGTTTAAGAGTTTTTGTCAGGGGTGCCTGGGTGGCTTAGTCGAGCAGGTTAAGTGTCCAACTTCAGCTTAGGTCATGATCTTGTGGTTTGTGAGTTCGAGCCCCGTGTCCGGCTCTATGCTGACAGCTCAGAGCCTGGAGCCTGCTTCGGATTCTGTGTCTCCCTCTCTCTCTGCACCTCCCTGCACGTACTCTGACTCTCTTTCTCTCTCACAAATAAACATGAAAAAAAATTAAAACGAGCTTTGGTCATAAATGAATTTTATCAAATGTTTTTTCTGCAACTCTTGAAATGATGGTGTGAATTTTGGGTGCTGTTTTTGACTGCTTGCCGGTCAATGCCCTGGACTAATCATTTGTCAGGGGTGTCTCCCAGGCGTAAGATAGATATGCCCTCCTCCAGACAGGCTTCATGTTTGTGTTTCCCAGGTCGCTAGAGTTATTAAAAGTCGTGGATGACCTCAAATGAAGTTGTCGACTGAAGCTTCTTTGACTATTTCAGGCAAAGGGCTGCAAATCTGATCAAAGGTTGATGTGTGGCAATTTCTTCCTAGTGATATTTTATCCTTGCCTTTTTCTTCTTCTGCTTGCCTTAGTATCAGGGTTTCTCTGAAGTCCTCTAGGATTAGGGGAAGAAGGTGGGTTAAGATCTAGTTCACCTTGGCCTATGAAGGTGTAGCTCCTTGGGGGTCCAGCTTAATGTGGAAGAAGTTAGTATAAGGCTCCTCAGCTTGGGAGGGCTCCAGCCTTTGAATTCTTTCCTTCTCGGCTTATATGGCCACTGATTCAAAGCTTAAGTGAGCAGTATTGGCAAGTGCCCACAGGGCACGAGTGGCTCTGATGTTCTAATAGCCTGCTTACCTCCCTGGCTACAGGTGTTCTCTCAGCTGCTCTGAGACATCCCTGCTTTTTGGCTTTAACAATGAAGTTTGAAAAATGTTCTACCCACCGTTTATTTTTGTTTTGCTGGGAGAATTGATCCAAAGAGGACAGCCTGACCATCCCCTGGATGTTGAGAGTTCTTGGATGCAATTTTCCAGCTCTGTTAAACCTGGTTGCCCCGGGACCCTCCTTCCTGGAGGCTGAGGCTTCCGTTGTTCCCCGGGGAATGGCAGACCCAGCTGAGAGTAAGGAGAGGATGTTCATCTTTTGACTTCTGGAACGGGATCCTAAGACTCATTTCAGAGGAACACTTGTGTGAAGGTTAAAGCTTTCATTTTGTAAGAATCGGGCTTTGTTGAGAAAGATTTATCTACGTTTTAAAAGTTACCCTAAAAACAAAACAAAACAAAACAAAACAAAAACAAACCAGAGTCTGGGCAGTCAGAGCACACAGTTTTACTAAAATCTGTAGAGTGGTAAGAAGAAGAGAATATGAAAATGGAAAGGAAAAG